GTCATCTGATCTCATGCAGCTCATCTGGGTCTGTGAAGTAAGTGGAGGACTTAATTTTAATCTGAAATCTTATTTTGAAATACCGTCAGACCTACCATCTGATTGGCTGAGTGTTAATTATGTGATGTCTGTAGTTTTGATTTAATTTTATATTTTATAGACTGGTTCATTGAGAATGAACATTTAACCCTTTATTAACCACAACAGTTTCTCCTTAACTCACATGATCAAATAGAATCATGATATCAACATTTCTCTACAAACAGGTTGTCAGGTCAGATCAACATTAGATGAAAAGATTGATAATGAAGTCATTCATACACAGTCCATCACTGAATACATAAACATACACAAACACTGACAGTACAACACAACACTGACACCAGGAACACTCTGCCTGCGGTGTGTGTGTGTGTGTGTGTGTGTGTGTGTGTGTGTGTGTGTGTGTGTGTGTGTGTCCATCCGTGTAATAGAGTTTACGGCAGGACAGGGGACCACAATTCCTGAGCCATTGTCATTATGTGCCTGCACCTGACACATTTTCAAATCTTATTTTGTCATATTGCATTTGATTTTCTGCGCAACATAAGCTGCAATACTAACAAAAGTAAACATAGTTTTCACATCAGCATTGTTTTGAACAAATCGCCTGATAGACTGATTTTGTAATGATGGAAATATAATACCAAACGATTTACTACAGGACTTTTTCTGTGACAGTATTTTTAATGTGCAGTAGTTTTTCCAGCAGCCCCCACATCACTAACATCCCCCCCTGCTCTGAGTGACCTGAACCTGAAACTGAATTTCGGAACAACAGCTTAGATGATGCTCTGTCCATTTCAGATCAAGTTTAACAACACACCCAGAACAATCAGCTGGTTAATGGTTACTTTTCATTATTAACCCATGTTTATATTATCCAGTTAACTCTGTGTGGGCTCCAGGCAGATGAACTACAAACTAGTTGGTCGAAAACTGTCTCTATGTGACGGACTTTCACTGGATGTTTCATAGATCGCTTTTGTTTCCACTTCTACGTGAAAAACACTTCACCACAAGTTTACTTCTCTCTGCCAATGTCACAAAGAGCAGCGTCTGTCTGTCTGTGTGTGCTGTGTGTGTTGTGCTGCATTATTAGAGCCTCTCTGGTCTAGAGGATTTATTATGGCAAAAATTATTTGTAATTAAACAATTCATCGGCGGGCCGGTTGGACTTGATTGACGGGGCAGAGTTGGCCCGCAGTCCGCCAGTTGAATAGGCCTTGTTTACAAGTCACTGAAATGTTGGATTTCTTTTCATTATAAATTAATTTCTGATTTATTTTTTGACAGAAAACATCAGTAAAGTGTCTCTGTCTCCACATGAAGTTGCTAAAATGGTTAAACATATATTTGTATTTTTTCATGTCTGTGTCATAATCAGATTCAGACTAAACATAGAAACTATAGTGGAAGGAGTCAGTTATATGTGATGTTGTTGCTATGATGTCACTGTGAGATCAACAGGTCTTTTCTCTGTCTGTTTCTGCTGCGAGACACTGAATCTCTATATCATGTGACACAGCCGTGCGATGTGAGACACGCGCGTCATGCAACCAGTGTGTAGCTCTAACCCATTAAAATGAGCACTGAAGTGAAAACCAAGACTTTCCGCAGCCGTCACATACACACCACACAGCCAGTGTGTTCCCACCCTTACATTCTAACAGCTTGTCATTCAGGCATTATAAAACATGCTGACTTTACCCAGCAGTGTTACACTGTCTGTATCCTGTGAGCTCAGTTGTTGTACTGGGATGTAATATTTTCTCCCCCTGTGTCTCCTCCTACAGGCCCATCAGAGCCATGCCCGTGGTCATGACCAACTCACTAGGTCAGGTGACATTAAATTCCTCGCCCATTCTGACCACCACCACAGGGGTCCCGGTAACGGTAGCTAACGCCTCCACCAGTGCTCCCCCCAAACTGGTGATCCAGGCTCTGCCCACTGTGCTGCCTGCTGGCTCCAAAGCTGGAGAGAAGATCACCATCATCACCATCCCAGCCAACCAGCTGGCCACGCTTATGCAGGCCAACGCAACAGGCCAGGTCACACAGCTCATCCATGCCAAACCTGTTGCTACACAGCTGGCGCAGGCCGCTGCGAAACCTGCAGCCGGCAACACACACACGGTCCAGCTAACAGCGGGCCGCTCGGCACCGCAGCTCATCCTGGCCAAACCAGCAGCGGTGGCTCAGCCGTTGCCTCAGTTCCAGGTGAGCCAGCCTCACCCCACCCAGCCCCCAAAGCCCTCCAGCTGTCAGCCTGAAGCAGCACAATCAGAAGTAGCAGCAGAGGCTCTGCCCCCCTCCAGCCCGCTAGCAGCATCAGCAGAAACCCTATCATCCTGAGAGCTCTGCCTGGAGCCAGGCCACCAAGTGGGGGGTGGGGGGGTAGTACAGGAAGTGACTGTGGACACTGCTGAGGAAGTGCAGGACACATCCCACACCTCCCCGCCTTAGAGCTCCTCTCTCATCGGCTCAGACTGTCAGCCTAATGTTAGTCTCCAGGGACACTGAAGCCCTACAAAGGATAAAAGGGACTGTTGTGTACACACACACACACACACACACACACACACACACACACACACACACACACACACACACACACACACACACACACACACACACACACACACACACACACACACACTTTCAGAGCTCAGAAGACATGGGCAGCCTTAGATTCTACATGAAAAACCTTTTGTAATCAAACGTAATATAAAGCCTGATAAGACTTTGTTGTAAACAGAAGTGTACAAACGTTTTTTGATACTCAATGTGTCAATACAGATGTAGTCGGGTTTCATCTCTTTGTTTCCTCCTCTGTTTCAGTCTTTAATGGTTTGTTACTCCACAGCACCGTCACCTTCCCAACACTTAGCGTCTTTTTCTACTGTTCATAAAAAGGGAGTAAAGGATGTCTGCGTCGGACAAAACAACTGAATGGTATGCTCCACATTTGAAGTATGATATACTATTTTTTCTTGTACTATCAGTGTATTGAAGTAGATTTTACTGAAATATGTATTATAAAAAAGACAAATGTGAATAAAACTGTCTAAAGTTGTTTTATTCAGCTGTCTGAAAAATGAAATGCTATACAAGTATTTAGTGGCATGCTTTGTGCCTTTGACGTGTTGTGTGAATGCAGTGAACTGTGCTGGTTCGGCAACAGAGGGACACTGTGCTGCTGCTAATGAAACTCATTTCACTTGTGTGTCCAGTGTGTAAGGATTATGACTCTGCACCTCAGTAATATTTCACAGTTTACAAAAATCTGAGCAGACACCACAAATATTCAAATCAATTTATTGGGACAGAAAATGTAAAAACAAGGCAACACTTGAAGATGCTTGTTGTACAAAGTGGCTGTACTTCAACAATCATACAGGGACAAATCTATCAGCCCCAGTAGCACTGAATACACTGCATACTGTGGCTCCAAGATCAACACATCTAATGAAACATGCAAATAATTAAAACGTGAAGCTCTTCAGCACTATGACAAAACATGTTGCATAAAGAAAAACTAAATCATTCAGTGGAAGTTTCCAGATGACAGTAGAAATTAGACCAAGACTGTATCACTAATATCCCCAGTAATTTCAACAAACATGACTGACACTAACAAAAATTAGACATAGCAGAAGTTGAAACTGAGATTCAGGAAAATTTCGATCACTGGTGAAATGTCCAAATTTCAGAAAGCCATAAGCCACGTACGTGTGTGCGTTAGTTACAGACTGTATGGTTACAAGTCGTAGATGAAAGGCGTCTGGGCCACAGACTCACCAACCTAGTGTGAGTTCTTCTAATATTGATGTTTCTCTATTCTCCTGTATGATCAGCTTGTTCTTGGAAGTGCTGTGATTGCTTTAAAGACTGTGGGAGCGCTGACAATATCAGAGAGATGAAAGTCACTACCTCATGGGAAGGACTTGCTGTCTGTGGTGAGGTAGTTAGAACACTGTTGAAGCCAAATCATCTCCTGGCTTTTCCATCAGATGTTGAATGTACCTGTGGAGATTTTCTACCATTCAAACACAAGAGCATTAGTGAGGTCCAACCCTGAGGGTGGGTGATATGGTCTGGCTCATACTTGTTGCAGTTCATTCCTAAGGTGTTGGATGGGGTTGAGCTGAAAACTGCAGGCCTGGGCAAACTGGGAAAAACATTTCTTTATGCAGCTAGCTCTTTGCATGGGTGCATGGGTGCATTGTGGAGCTGAATTATTATTTGAAATATTTTATGCCTTAGAATTTATGCTCAGTAATCACTTTATTAGAAACAGCACATTAACACTGGGTAGTTCCTCAGTTTTTGGATCCACCATGCCACCCGATGTTGAAACTTTTCTGAGACTCCATGCTCCATGTTGACATGACTTAATAATATTCAGTCCATTCCTGACCTGCACTGCCCTATACTGTGATTTTTTATTGTTCCTCTAAATGAGCATAGTTTGTAGATGTCATCACTCAGATTGGTAGCACATATTTCAGAAAAATGACAAAGATCTTCTAATAAAGGTTGATGCACAAGAAGCTGCGCCAAAGGGATGAAAATGGAACTTCTAACTGAGTAGCTTCATAGCAGCCATCAGGCGTCCAGCACTGAGGGCCAGCCGTCAACAGATCGCTCCCTTTAAAGTCCACTGGACCTGCTACACAGCCCATGTTGTGTCCAATTGCAACATGCAGAGAGCGTCCAGCGTCAACATGATCCTTGAACCAGTTTGTCGATGGCTGAGGCAGAGGCAAGCTATTCTGTGAGAGGAAGAAACAGCCAGTCGTTCACAATCAATCTGTTGACACAGTTTTGCCCTGGATGTTTATAATAACCTGCTATCAACTTTATTTAACAGTGAAGCACCTTTGTATGCCATTATTGGATAGTCACAGTGTGAACTGACAGGAAACTGTACTAGTCAGGAAGTCAAACAAGCAACAGTATGAGTAAAATTCATTTCTTTATTTATCTTTTATATATTAACATTTCTCCTTATGTTCAGTGTAGTCACAGCAACAACACGTCATGATGACCAATGTCAAACTGAAGAACCACCTGGGATTACTTCAGTGCAAAATAATTCATTTAGGGAAACTAAAGGAAAACCTGTTGATAATGGTAAAATCAACTGATAAAAGTATAAAGAATAATTTAATAAAATTAAGATACAGTCTTCTATGTATATAGGCAATAATAACTAAGTGCAGTTGGCCCCTCAGCTGCTGAATAACCAGAACATTTTGTTAAAGGGTTAGAAGACTGACAGGCTCCAGTGTGACTCGTGTCAGAGTCAAATTTAACTTCTTAACTGTTTGAAGTTCCTATGATGACCATCTTTAAAATAATAGCATTGTTACAGGAAGGGACACATTGTAAATTATTCACTCTGAAATCAGGTTCCACCATGATCCACTTCAAAGTCACACTCTGAACTGTCCTAACTCTGATTTACAGTGTAACTTCATCATTGATAAGCAGTAGCCTCATTCAGTCCTCCTATTGGTCCAGAGCTCCTGTGACTGGAACCTACATCAACCTATGAGGTTCCTCCCTGAAACTGATGTCACAGAGCAGTGATAAATGGTCAGAGGGGTAGTGGTAGGAGGGGAGGCGGTCTGGACCTATCTGCTCTTCAGTGGGAATGTCCAACAGACAGTCCACACTCAAAGCATCATGGGTATACCAGATGTAGTCAAGCGTGCTGCAGCTCTCACCAGAGGGGCGGATCTTCCACGTGGTATAGGCTGGTTCCGTCTGTCCGTCAGAGCTCAACAGCTTGTACGCAGAGTTTAGGCCGAGGGGGGAGGAGCTGAAGCGTCTGTAAACGTCCTCTGAGGGCTCTGCGTTAAAGTCCCCACACACTACTAAAGGAACGATGGCTGACGCTGCCTCACTCTGACCGCCACCCCGGGACGTTATGTTTCGTAAACTCTGCAGCAGATCAGCACCCTGTGCACTCCGCAGCCTCTCCCAGCCATTACGAGCTTTCAGATGGGTGACGGCCACGCACAGCTGTCGGCCCGTTACCCGGCAGTTCAACGTCTGAACGATGGCTACCTGGTTGGTGGGCAGCATCATGGCTGACAGCCGCAGGTGAGCTGTGGCCTGGAGGGAGAAGCGTGAGTGGCGATAAAACAGAGCGCAGCCGTCAGGACCGTTATTCTGCTCTACATCCAGACAGGGAGACCAGGGTTTTGCCAGAAAGCTGCCATGGTAACCCAGGCTGGCCATGATTGGCTGAAAAGTGTCGTAGTAGTGGTCCACTTCCTGTAGACACAGGATGTCGGGCCGGTAGGTGAGGATCTCCTCCAGGATCAAGTACTTCCTTTCCTGCCAGTTGAGAGCCTCCAGTGGACAGCGGACAAACCCGTCCTTCCCCTCACCAAGAGCTGGAACCAAAGAGACATTCATTTTCATACCAACACCTGAGACATGCTAGCAACTTGGTGAAGCTGTTATAGACACAGAGCTGCTTCGAGCTAAATACTAACACATCTTTGCTTAGCAAGTTAACATACTAACATTTGCAATGTCTGATCCAATAGCTGTCAGTGTGTACAGTGGCCAGTCAGATGATCACCAAAGTCAGTAGGATTCACTCTCTGAGGATCAGAGACCAAGGTGAAGTACTGACTGGTGACAGACCATGCTGCTACTGTGGTTAAAACACCACTGAATGTAAATATAACTTCCAAATTTCTACATCTCACTGTAGTCCACATAAATCTATCATTGTATGGTTGATGCACAGATCTCTACCTTGGGCAAGTATGTTCCACTGCATCACCCGTATGGAGGGGTTGTCATTATGGTGACAGGGCGCTGTGGTGCTGGGATAGACCAGATCCCGGTGTGGCCGGGCCGGTCGCCTCTGCAGGACATCCTCACATTCTCTGAGCAGCTGGTCTGGGTCTACCTCGGCCAGGTCCTGGTCTGGGCTTTCTTCTGGGTACGGGTCTGGTTGGGCCAAGGAGGAGCTGTTCAGCGACTGGGCCAACGTACCAAACAACCTGCTGCTGCCACCACCCATTGGACAAACTGATGGAGAGGAAACAAGGGAGGGACATGTGTGGTTATTAACAGTGTACTAGCCACCATGAGCGAATGGTCATACCAGACCAAGAACATATCAGCAAAACTGTTCTTTATTCTTTCCAAACATGACACGCAGAAGTGTAGTCTCACTCTAACAATAGCACCAGGTACTTTTTGTCAAGTGTTTCAGCTCTTATGAGTATGAATCATTGACTTTCTGTAACCCAATACTTCAGTTGCTTACAATCATTTCACAATTCATTTGTGCGGTTCTCTGTGAAAACCACTGAACTGAGAGACTGTATCCCCTCACTACCAATGAAAGAGAAGCATGCCTACAGACTAGAGACAAGGTTTGGACACTCTGCTGGTTACTTTGGCCTTTTCAGAACATACTGACTAAACATTTGCTCAGATCACTCGCTGAGCAGCCGGTCATGAGAAAACAGTCCAACAGTCCACCACATACCAAGGTAGAACACTCTGAATGGACATTAATCTTGATGTTGATAGGCTGTTATCAACCTTAAATGTCTGCCTACATTATCCCTTAAACCACTGGCTAGCCAATAGCTTAATCTTTAAACTGTCAGATGTCTTTACAGAGACTGCTATTAGACATTTGTACTAACCCACTGAAACATATAATAACTTTAGGAAAGGTCGTCTCACTGCCAATGTGTTGGTAGAACTGCTTGAAATTCCTGAATGGTACAACAGTAACAGTAGGTTGTCCCAGAGGTTTTGGTTTGTCCTCCCAGTCTGTTGACAGAATCCAGTATAGATTTACTGAGACAGAGATATAGAGTATTATTAGACATACATAACTTGTGCTGATGACACAACAGTAATGGGCCTCATCAGCAACAAGGCTGAAACAGCTAACAGAGAAGAGGCGGACCTACTAGCAGCGTGGTATAAGACTACCAACCTTTCCCTAAACAGGGAAAACAAAGGAGGTTATCATGCTGATCACACACTGCTGACCACTGACACTGAAGAGCACAAAGTTCCTCAGAGTGCAGACTTTTTGGTCACTTAACAAAAGCAGAAAACCATACACAAGTTTTTCTGAAATAAAACAAGTGAATATTTACATCACTTCAGATACTCATTCAATCAGTTTGTATTGAGGTCTGACAGCCAGCCCAACTGATGGGAGCGAAATGGATTTATTTTTGATGGTATTCAGACATATGTAGTTTAATAATGGATATATATACCACACACGTCTGTGTTTAAAAGTAAAAGATTATTATTACACTGATATTGTAAATGTCTTACCGATGGCCTCCATTTCCTCTCACTTCTTCCTCGCTCTAAACACCAGCTCAGTCCACTGTCTCTGTCTGTTACTCTACATCTCTGACTGTCTGTGACTCATCCTTTATCTGTCTCATCCTCCTGTCTGAATCATCACTTCCCACCCCTCCCTCACCCTGTCTCACTTGCTGGTTGACAGAATGACCTCTACAGAGAGAGGGGTGGAGGTAGAGGAAGATAAAAAGAAACAGGAAGTAGTAAGTGGGAGGGGTTTTAATAAGAATGGACATGTTGTCCAACAGGTGGGGATGGCAGGACAATCTGGTGAGGAGAGAGTGTGTGGTTGTTCTGTCGGTGACACAGTAACAAGGTTTACATGGACAGAGACTGTGGACTGAACTAATTCACTAATCTGATTTTGAGTCATTGCACATACATGTACCTAACTAAGTAACTGAGAAGGTATGTAGTTTACTCAACTCTACCTTCTGCAGGCTGGTCGATGTAAATGCAATCACTGTATATTATTCAAATTTCAATACTGAGGAAGATCATTAGTTGGGGTTGAAAACCCAAGACAGCTAAGAACACTGTCAGAATGAGTGGTGGTGTTATATTGGACATTATACTGGGTTGGATAACATGTTGTAGTGGTCTTCTCTTGAAACATGTAAAAGAACAACATGCTAATACGCTCACAACAACAATGTTAATGTTTGGATATTGTTCACCGTATTCAGCCTCTTAGTTTAGTGTGCCAACATGCTAACATTTGGTAATTATCACAAACACAAAATACAGCTCAGAATAATGGGAAAGTTTTTTTTTTATTGTAAACCAAAACATTAACTATTTTGTCCAATCCAGTATCGGAGCACAGAACAATAACTGATTTCTAACTCTTCTTTAATTGGCAATTCGACTATATGTTCATAATAAAACACTGACGGTTGAGTGAGCGTGAGTGTAAATTTGACCAGCACAGAACTGGATATCTCAGACTGAACATTCAATCACGCTAAAAATCGGCCTCTGCTGATCGCCAGCTGATCGATTTGTGCATCTACCAAAGTTTTCCATGCCAAAGTTTTTAGATTTTAGACTTCAACCATGAATGTCGGTACAAAACTGCAGCCCCAAAACAACAGCACCACTAACTTCAGCCTCAAGATGAAGATATAGCTCCATGACTTCTTCATCGCTGCACTCTGATGCTGTCAAAGAGAAGCTTCAAATAACAGGATGAGCTGCTGTTTGATACAAGTTACCAGAAGAAAGTCTGGTGAGCAGACTGAACGTATTGGATTGAGTAAAAAGGACTATACACTACACAAACATGAACATAAGTACTTACAGGGAACAAAATCGATGACGGAAGCACACACATCAACACATACAGTTTTCAGCCTGTCTGAAGGTTATCCACCTAACACTATTCCTCCTGCCTCAGTCTTTGGCCTTAGAGCTGGAATGAGTCTGACAGTCTGCTGGAAGTGAGCAAGGAGAGACAGTGTGACTCTCATCAGAGACAGTCCAGTTCTGACTGACTGGCCTGTTCAAGAATGCTCTCTCTCTTTCTCTCTCTCTCTCTCTCTCTCTCTCACACACACACACACACACACACACACACACACACACACACACACACACACACTAACGAAATGAGAACTGTGCAGTGTAAGCACTCCCTCAGGAGCATCAAGTGGAATGTCAGTCAACAATGAACTGTCAGACAGGCAAAGAATCTGTGCATGTTGTGTCTATGTGCATTCACCATATTACCCATATATCCCCAGATATTCATACAGCACCAGGTAAGAAGGCTTACTATATCTATAGATGGTGGCTGTCCTGCACACACACAGACACACACTTAAACTACTCAGCACTGTCAACAGCCAGGCTCCATTTCCTCCAATCGGGAGCTGGTCTTTCACTCTCACACACCAACAAACACACCTGAGCACAAACACACACACAGGCTTCATGAACTATGTGATAGAAATGTGTCCAGTTCTACATAAAACGAGTTGATGGTGCTTGTTTAGCACTGAACGTTATTAAACGTTTATTTTTGCATTAATTTATGTTAAATACTTTAACTCTATTACTGTTCTGCTCTCTGACAGATCTATTTTACATTGGTACACATGGACAAATTGCAGTCAGTCAGTGTGTGTGTGTGTGTTTAGATTCCTTCATGACACTGACACCACAATGCAGTGAAAAACATGATTCCTGCTTTGTGCCTTTTTAGAAATATTATTCTTCTTCACTTCCACAGATATGAAGTGATGTACAGAATCACTGTATTGTGATACCATTGTATCATGATAACATTGTAACATTGTACTGTGAGATACTCTGTGATTCCCACACCTATTTTTCACTGCTGGTTGATATTGGTTGTCAAAAGGCATGCTGGGATACTTGTCTACCCCATGTGCATGTTGGTTTTTTTTTCCTGTGTGACATGGACATGTATACCCGTCCCAGGACAATATAGACCAGTGATTCTCAAGGTGTGGTACGTGCACCACTAGTGGTACGCGGGGCTCCCTCTAGTGGTACGCCAAAGAATCACTGAAATAAATATAAATGCGTTGACATCAACAGTTATTCACGGTAGCAGGAAAGAAATTAATGGCAAGAGGTGGAGGTTTTTAATAATGAAGAGTACTAAACTACTGTCGTGGCTTCAGTCTGCGAAGGGAACTGTGGACCAGGAGAGAGCGAGAACTGAAGAGGAGGGGGCAGGGTGCAGGTGCTAACAGCGGTGGCCCCAGTGAAGCCCCCAGAGCAGCTGCTAGCAAAAACAAAAGGCACAAACCAGTGAGGAGATATGACGAAAACTATATCAAATTTGGATTTATTTGGAGCGGGAGAGAGGAAGAGCCCAGGCCGCAGTGTGTGATATGTGGCGACGTTTTGAGCAACAAATGCATGAAACCATCACATCTCAAACGGCATCTTACAATCAAACACAGGGAACTTAACGACAAACCAGTGGAATTTTTTTTACGAAAATGTGATGAACTGAAACGGTCAAAGTCCACTATTCAGTCCTTTGGTACACCCATGGCCAAAGCACAGGAAGCTTCATATCGTGCCAGCCTCCGGATCGCAAGAGCCGGTAAGCCGCACACAATTGGGGAACAGTTGTGTTTACCTTTAGCCAAAGAGATGACACGGATCATGTGCGGAGAGAAAGCTGCCAGAGAGTTAAACTTGGTGCCACTTTCCAATGACACCGTGTCAAGGAAGATAAAAGACATGGCTGGCGATGTTAAAAACACTGATTGAGCGCATTAAGAACAGTCGGTATTTTGCCATAGAGCTTGATGAGACTACAGATGTTGCAGGACTGTGTTCACAGAGGCACACACACCCATCACATTAAGCTCATGTAAGTTGTCATCAATAGTCTGTGTATGTTTAAGTACAGCTGTTAATCTTAATGCTCTTCCTCACTTTTGTTTTATTCTTAATCTTATTGTTCTTCCTCTGTGTTTGTGTGTTTCTGTTTCAGAAAGCAGCCATACAGCAGTGTGTGAAGTTCAGCCTGTTTTGATTTTTTTTAATCAAGTACAGTACAGTTTTATTTAATCTTTAAGAACTGTTTTTTTGTTTTTTTACATTTATTTAAGTACAATGTTTATTTTACATTTATGTGCATTATATTTTAATTGAATCATTATTTAAGAACAGTTTTTTTTATTTTCCTATATTTAAGCGCAGTGTTACTGTTCAAACTGTGTAAAATGTTACACTGGCTGACAATATTAAAAATACTTCTTTAGGAATAAAACCTCTGCCTTGTTTTTGATGAACGCTTAGGCCTACTACGCTACTGTATAGTGTTGGTCATTATGGTGGTACTTGGAGAGCCAAGTATTTTCTGAGGTGGTACTTGGCGTAAAAAGTTTGAGAACCACTGATATAGACGATCTACAGTACATTCACAAGTCATCCTCCACATCATCACAAGCGGGAGATGTGAAGAACACGTTGGAGCATTTGAAGCATATTGGCTAAATGAGAACACAAGAAGGATAGACAGACATTTCCAACCCAGTACAATATGTCCATGTCTTCACTCAAACCGTTTTTTTGTCCTCATGTTCCAGGACCAAGTGAAGCTGCTGTTCAATAATAATAATAATCCAGACTGTGGCGCTGGTTACACCGACAGACCAAATTCCAGTTCATCTCCGCTGCTGTGGGGAAACACGTGCCTTTTAACTGAATTACCTAATGACATTAGAAGAAGAGGTGCAGGGTGAAAAGTGAAAAGTGAATGAAGTATTGTCCTGTATCATGTGACAGTAACAGACACTGAGCTGAGTGAAACTGCTGAATTCCTGTGACACTGAGAAGGTTTTAAAAGATGACAACCACTTAAAATAAACAACCACTTACAAAGATCATCAGCTTTTCTCCAGACTTCATTAAACAGGTGTGTTAATAATAACTCTTTAGCTTTAAATGGACGCTAATACAGTCCTGACAAACTGATTAAACTGGTGTGGACTCTCTCTTGACCCAGGTCTTCTTTAGTGGATGGTTATGTAACTCAGCCTGACCAATCCCATTACTGATGGAGGCCGGTAAAGATCTGGAGTAAGATAAAGAGTTTTAGCCTCCAGAGGATTCGCACACAAACACCATTAAAGCGGATGATTTAAGGCCCAATCTGTTTCCTTTGACAATACTTAAAATAGACAAACCTTCAACCTGGTTAGAACTGCTTCCAGACTTTGACCCACAAGCTGGTTCCTGACTGGCTCGCATTGAACCAGTATGAGTTTTTGAAGGCTGATATCTCTTTAAAATCAGGCTCTCTTCCACACAGTTAAAAATTATTTTGTTCCTTTCAAATCCATATTTTAAGTGTCACAACTTCTGAATCAGGAGCTTCAATTTTTGGATCAAGAATGTGTGCATGTAAGTAAACTACATGTTATTTCAATGTGACACAATCAATTCATGTCTTCTGCTGTTCATGGGAGCCACAGCTTGTGCTGAGGTCTGGGCGATATGGCTAAATGTATTATGACTGTATTTTTTTTTTTCATATGGATTGATATCAACAACTAGAATGGCACTCAGTAGAGCGCAGACCTCCCCCAAGACCAAACAAGGATACAAATTTCTGTGAGATCCATTATCTGGATCCAGATTTATATTTGGATTTGCACCAAATTGTACAAAGTCATATATCTCAACACCATAAATATGTCTGAGATCCAATTATTTCCTGAGAAATGAACAAAATGCTACATACTTCTTGTACATGTATATTTATTTTAACATAAACATGTCTTTAAAGGATCTACATACACTGATGTAAATATCGATGGTGCAGCGCGGCCCAGGAGCTATCAGCTACATAACTTACTGCTACAGTGCAATAGGGTAACTGTGCAGGTGAGGGCTGAGCTGAATACAGAACAGATACAAATCACTCACCAGTTCATCATCGTTGTTGTGGGGTTTTTTTATATGTGTCAGGCTGCTTTATTTCCCAGCTCTAGTTGTGCTACTGCTGTCTTTCTGCCTCGTCAAGGAGTAAGCAGTTCAGTTTTATCTTCATAACTTCAGTTACTTGTGAAAGTGACTTGTAATGAATAAAACAATACCAAACCCAAACCCTTGGAAAACCCAGTATATATCAGTTTAACCCTCATCGTTGTCTGAGCATCTGCTAACACAGCTATTCTTTTAGAAATAAATATTATTCATAGAATCTGCTGCTGTTTCAGAAACACCAGCAATGCCTTTATAATGACAGTTGATGGTGTACAGCGGCTTTTTCTCACATTTAAAGTAAGAAGTTAATATCTCAGCACCAAGTCCAGCTCTTGCTCTCCACAGGTGACCTATGAACCTATTTGTCATCTAGTGAAGTGGAGCATTAATGCTGTGAGACAAAGAAGTGCAGTGTCATGGTTCAGTGACAGGAAGGAAATGGAGGCTGCTTCAACAGATTACCAGTAAGAGGTCTCTGATTAAGACCCACAGGAGAGGACACCAAGAACTTCCTGTGTCACTGTTTGAGAAAGGTAAGAACTGTTACCAAGCAGGAGCAGTGTTAGCCTCCCTGGCTAAAGTGATAAAGAATAGAGCACCACCTATGGCAGCTCCAAGGAATACACTGATTGGTTGACAGGTAAAAGGGTCATGATATGAATTTCATATTTCATAGCTGTTCTGTTTTATCTAGCATCAGAGACTGTCAAAGGACAAGCATGTATAACATGCGTATAACACCAGATAATAATTAGCCAACGTGTAAAAAGAGTTTCAACATCTACACTTCAATGACCACTGTCATTGCCCATGAAGACCCTGTCACGGTCAATAGTGTAAGTAAGAGGCCCTTGAGTAAAGATTGCTTTGTCAAGGTAATTATTATTTTGGGCACATATTGGTAGAAAACTTGACTTCTCTTGAACCTAGGCTGAAGTTTTGTGTGCAGTTTTATGTGTTTGTGAAGTTTTAAAGTTCAGTACATTTCCTCTAACTGACAGTTGTTTGAGTCGACTCCACAGAGACCCACTGACCTACCTTATATAATATATAAGGTAGGTCAGTGGGTCTCTGTGGACTGGAAAGACTCCTGAGGATTGATGTCTGTTACATCATCAGTTTCACATATGGATGAGTGAAACACATGCTGAGTCTAACCTGTGTGTCTGCCCTGTAAGGTAGTTTTACATCTAGGGTAATGAGAGGTAATGAGACCTTTAACCTTTCTTACATGAACAAATCTTAAATGATAAACATTGTCTCTGCCAAAACACGTGATTTAAATTCTTATGAACCATTACTCTCTGTGTGTGTGTGTGTGTGTGTGTGTGTGTGTGTGTGTGTGGTAAAACCGACTGAGAGTACGCTCAGGATCATGAAAAGCAGCAGGGTTATGAAGTGATTTAGAGACAGTGTCCTGTATAGGATAACTACCACCCATTCACAAACCATACTAGTGGTTTTGACACGTCACACACTGATGAGTAAGCGCGTTTTAACCGTTCACATTATTTGAACGGAGTTTGGTAGAAACAGAGTCGTGTTGTTTTATGGCCTCAGACTATACCGACTACTATCCTCAAGTGTACATTACCTGGTGCTGCCCCAGTGGTGGAAGTTCCGCTTGGCTTCAGCTGGGGACAAGTCCCTGTGACTCCTCTTCCTCCGACCCCGAAGTATCGTGGTCCCGTCGGGTTTGACACTGCTCCCGTTGAAAACGGTCTCCTAGCTGCCGGTCCATTCCGTGAGGACACACACAGCTGGTTCAATAAAGCCGAACAGCGACGGGCGGGATTCATCACTGACTGTTCCGAGTCCAAAATGAGACACCTCTAAGTTACAGGGAGTGTGTTGTTGTCCTTTCACCTGTAACACCCAAACCGAGCCATGTATTCAACAAGAAGCCAGAGAACGTTCCCCCAACACGCGGGCTAACGCCATTCGTTTCTCTTTGTACTTCTGAAGGCGACAGTCAACCGGCAACAGTTGCATCATTTTTCTGGTCGAGTCACGGAACACCGGCTACTGAGGGGTTGGCCAAAGATGGGCTAGTCCGTGACGTTTTCAGGAGGGAATCAAACACTTTGTAGTTCACTATTTAGTATATATACCATAGTATATAATATTACATAAGTTAATGTGGTTTGTGGAAAATGTATGTGATTGTTTTATTTTCCTTCGCAAATCTAAATCTAGAAAAGGTACATACAACAAACCCCCTGATCTCAGCAGTGGTTCGAGCCGTACAATATTTGTACTAAAGAAGCGAAAAGAGGGCGTTAACTTTTCATAATCAATCCAATCAGCGTTCAGTGCGTTTATTACATAGGAATGACGGCTCTGACGTAAACAGCACGCCCCTCCAATCAGCTTCCTGCACTATCTACGTAGTCTTTTCTGAAATTACATAACTTTCTATACAGAACAGCCTGGTCTCGATCAATCTCAACCTCTCAACCAAAAGAATAAACAAAATTAAAGGGAGAAAGATCAATTCTTTCTTTCTTTCTTTCTTTCTTTCTTTCTTTCTTTCTTTCTTTCTTTCTTTCTTTCTTTCTTTTTGTATGTCATAGACTATCACTGTGCTCTTGATTTTTTAATCATTATTATACCTACTGTCAATTCAACACATATCAAATAAAATGTTAAGAGAAATCTGTATCTTCACTTTTTTTTAACAAGAAATTAGGTCTAGTATAATAAGTATATGGTTAATGGTAAATGAAAAAAGGTGAGTTGCAGAACATTTGAGTGTGTGAAAGCCACATCATTTGAATACCAAAGTCTGGCCCATATACTTCCACACCTAGGCAGATTTCAGCTGTTATTGGCTGACAGCCAGAAGATTCTCTGTGTGCAGCAGAATTAGTCCAGATGTTGAAGTAGCATTAATGTTGTATATGGGCCAGATTCGGGCTATGGAGCCAGGTGTATACTGGGCCAGATGAAAAGCATGTGGCCCAAGTATGGGCCAGATTTATTTTGTTTTCTGGGAAAGAAGTGCTTAATGGTCTTTTTTGTAACCAAGTGCTATGGATTATCTGTCACTCCCTCCCATGTTCCCTTTTCCTGTTTTGATCTGTATTAGAGTTAAACTAATGTTCCAGAGCCATGATGTAACTGGATCAAGGGTCAGTAAAGTCAGGATCCAGGACAGTTTCTCTATCAATTATTCATCAACTCAAACACAAAACAAAGCAGTGCTCTCATGGTTGTATGAGTTGTTCCAGGTTTGTTTTCAAGGAATGTGTTATGTAAATTCATTGCTATATGTATAGCTTTAACACTGGAAAACAGAAGGAAAGAAAACAAAGCAAAGCATAATAAATTATAATAATTATGAACAGCAGCTCCCAGTGTGTAACCATCAGGGATTTAACAGTGTCACATAAAGGCCAATTCATCTATGTCCTTGTGTAATATCATCATCTGCCCATGTCCGTGAGGTTCTATGTGGCTCCCTGTGCAGAAGTCCCTGTGCAGCCCAAAATTTGTGCCCGCAGACTGTACAGATGAGAGAAGAAGATCTGGCCTTACACACATTTATATGATTCCTCTTTGAAATAATAAAGTCAACCATATGTCCTGGCCCCATTCTGCTATTCTCATTATGTGGATGTGCATTATATTTTCTCCTTTTGCATTTGTCTTTTTCTAGTGCTTGATTTTTAAAGCGGTCGACAAACAAAGCTGTGTTGCATTTCCATCACCAACTGGAATGTGTGACATCCTGAGGTGGTAAATGGATGGACTTGCACTTATATAGCACTTTTCTAGTCTTACTGACCACTCACATTCAACCATTCACACATCACATTCATACTCTGATGGAACAGCCATCAGGGGCAAGATGGGGTTCAGTATCTTGTGCAAGGACACTTGGGCAAAATTTGGGCAATGACCCCTGGAGGAGCCAGGGATTGAACCACTGATCTTCTAATCAGTGAATGACCTGCTCTACCTCCGGAGCCACAGCTGCCCTCTGACATGCTGTTGTGTTACTTCCGGTTGTTGTTTTTACTGTGTTTTGCTGCTCTGTTTTGATTCAGTTATTTTAACTATTTTCTTCATTACAGTGGCTAATTACCTGTTGTACATTTAAACATGTACACACTAGTACTGTCCACACACTTATAGCTAATCCAAAGCTGATGACATGCTTCAGATCTGCTAGTTACTTTAGCGTAGCAGCAAGTGATGGCTTCTGTCTCTCCCTCTCACTCCCCTGTTCTCCCTTGCTTGGTGTGCCTCGTGTTTATTTACTCCTCTGCCTCCTTTAGTATTAGTTTACTCCCTCTGTCGCTCCTCCTCTACCCTCAGCAGTTCCCAAACGGAAAGCTGGTTGCAGCAGGAAGAATATGCTAGTCTGAATAAATCAACACCTGCTACTTTTATCTGAGTTAGTTCTTAGTACAGATAAAGTCATTATAATGGATGATGTCAGCATACATATAGATGTTGACAGCCACAGCCTCAGCTCTGCATTTAATTCACTAGTAGACTAGTAGACAGGAATGCCAACACAGACCCCAACTGTATTGTGGATGGAACCACATGTGTGTCCACACAACCAGAGAAAAGTCTGCAGCTGCCTTTGGTACACTGTGTGTCCAAGGCTTTAGTTGTGTTGCAGGTTTAGTGTCTTTTCTTCCTGTCTCTATGCTCCCATCTGGTGGTCATTTAATGAAAATGCATAATTTGGAGTCCACAGTTTTTGATAAGTGAATAAACACCTTTTTTTTTCTTTACATACTTCCATATGTGTTATTTCATAGTTCAGATGTCTTCCGTATCAAAATGCAGAAAAACCTATGAATGGATAGGTGTGTCCAAACCTTTGAGTGGTACTGTATATGATGTGTGTTACTCCAATGAAGAGTTATGATGGGGTTTTTCACCTAGAATGCATGTGTTGGGGTTTCAACTCATGGCTGCTATTTGAGTCCCTGACTATAACTACCATGAGACAGCTGGCACCTGAATCTGGCTTTCACAGAGAAACATAGATTGCTCCGTGCAAAGGACTAAGACGCTGCTGGGACTTTACATACCAAGTTGTTACTGAAAAAATAACATTAATTATTGTAGAATTTGTATTAATCAAAAATGACAGAAATCCAGAGGGGTCCCAACAATTTAATAACAAATTTTCCATCCCCCTAGGGAATAAATAAAGTATCTATGTATCGATCTATGTATCTATCTATCTATCTATCTATCTATCTATCTATCTATCTATCTATCTATCTATCTATCTATCTATCTATCTATCTATCATTTTGGTTTATGGTTACTTTAAGGACAAATTGTCATGTTTGTCGTTTACATTCATTATGGTAATCTGAGGTGTTTTTTTACTTGTGAATAAACCATTCCGTATATGGATATCACAACGCCGGGCTGTGCTTCTCCCCTACACTCGCTTGCTCTTGGACTCCAGCAGTGCATGCTCACATGTTTTGAGGGAGTGGCTTTGGAGGGATTCCTGGAGGGAAGGGAAGGGTTTTTTTCAGGTTCTTTCAAATTGTAGCTAACATCTCCAGGATTACCTACTCCAGCTTTAAGTGTCATTTCTGTAATGTGATGCATTGAATTGCGTTGTGTCTGAAACAAAAACAGAAACACTTGTGAACTATTATAAGTGAAATAAAAAAAACTGGAGAACTCAATTTAAAGTACTTTATTGTGAAAGGGTGTCAATAATTTCATCTACAAATGTATGTGGATAAATTGAAATATTTGTGAGGTGAAAGGTTTTTTTGTGTAATTCATTCATGGTTACAACAAACATCAATTTTGACTATTGGAGAAAAAAAAATCTTGCAAATCAGTAATAATCATTGAAAGTCTCACTGGTGCCAGTAAGTTCTTTTAGTTTGTTATGGTTCCTCTTCATGTCCGTAATCATTCTCTTTATGCCTTGTGTGTGCAGCAGCTCATCTCCAGTGATCTGAGACAGTGCTGTTGTCATCTCCTCCATCACCTTAATCACAGGCGCCAGCAGGATCTGGTGTCGGGTCTGCAGCTCTGCCACACTCCCCACCCCACACAGCTTCCCCAGCTGATGGACAGCTCTTCTCATTTTATGCTGAACATCAGCAACAACCCGCCGCTGCACAGACATATCCAACAGTTTGGCATCCGTCTCATGAATCTTATTGTCAGCCTCTTGAATGTCACGCTTAGCTTGAGAGATCTCGGATTCATATTTAGACACTTTGTTAGAGTATGATTTGACCTGAGATTCACAGCTCTCTACCTCCCGCTTAGCTGTGCGGACAGCATTGGAGGCCTCGTTCATCTCTGTTTCCCCAATAATAGCCAAGGCTGCCCCTGAGATTAAAATAGATAAATAATGAAAAACATGTTGTTAGTGTGAACTGTCCAAAAAATCTTCATTTCTTCAGTGATCATCAGTCTCCTATTTATTTTAGTCAGCGATATAATCACTTTACTATATAACTATGTTTAAAATAACTTGTATGGTTATAACCTGATGTGATGACTTACCAGGAATCCATCCCACAAATGGTATAAACATCATACCAATCCCAACATTCCTCATTGTCTCCGCCTCGTCTCTCCTCCTCCTCATGCTGGAAAGGGTGTCTTCTGCTGACTCCAGGTTTCTCTTCTCTGTCTTCAGAGCTTCACGGTAACTCGCTAGAGAGGATCTGTCTGACTCCAGCTGTGTTTTCAAGTTCTTTAACTCACCCTCTTTCTTCTTTTTCTGCCTTGCTAAATCACTCTGCATTGCAGTGAGATGCTCAGTCTCCTCATCCAGGCGTTGAAGCTCTGTTTTGGCTACCTGCTCTGATGCTTCCAACTGCTGCTTCATGTTCTCAATCTGTCGTCTGATATCACGGAAGTTCTTGGATCCAGGAAGAACCATGTCTCCATTTATACTGAGGAGCATCTCTGAAACATTGTTGAAGGAATGGAGTCCTCTCTTCAGCGGCTCAAGCACAGCCTGGGCCAGTTCCCTCAACTCCCAGTGCTGCTGCCCTACAGATCTGTGAGTGCAGAGAGGAAAGGGTTAAAGCCTAGAAGCTGAACAGACAGACCCCAGATGATCTGAGAGGAGCCGGATCGGTGCCAAACATCACTTACACTCACAATTTCTATTCATTAGGCCTAAATCAATAGAAATGAGTACTGATAGTGTATAACTAGAGTTTGATAGTGTATAATCAAACTGTAACATATGTCAGCATGCCTCACACTGACGTACTGCAGAAGTGACCAGTAGGATAAGGCAGCATGCAGTTTCAATACAGTGAACTCCATTCTAATACATACCTACAAGACATGGTTCGATGCAAGCCGGATACTTGACCACTGCAAGATGAAAACAAAAACTTTAAAAATTACAAATTACTTTTTCCACCTTTTTACCCACAATGGTTTATTTGATCCTTATTTAGCTCTCCAGACAATTATAGAATAAAATATCATATGGAAATAGTGGTGTGCTAAGTTTGACTCTGGGTGGGGGCGTCACGTAGCGCATTGGGTTACGAGGCTACAGTCGTCGCTGCAGCTGGCCGCCGGTTCAACTCCCGCTTCAGACAGCCCTTTCCTGCGTGTCATTCCCCCTCTCTCTGCCTCCCCATTTCCTGTCTCTCTACTGTCCTGTCCATTAAAGGCACAAAAAGCCCAAAAAAATAACTAAAAAAAAAAAAAAATTATTTTTCCAATGTGCCCCAATAGCAATTGCCATGGAAGTTAAAGCTGTAAACAGAACTGATTAAGCCGTTGCTCTATCTGGCACATCAGTGGTGCTGGTGAGATGCTGGCGAGATGCTGGTGAGATGCTGGCGAGATGCTGGTTTACGCCGCTGTGCACTTTTGCAACCATTAGATGCAACGCAACGCAAACCAACACAACCGAGTAAAATGTTTCTGGCATGGGGTGTGTGGCAGTGGACATGATGTCATGCACATTTTGTATCACTTCCGGTGTCCACTAGGTGGCGCTAGAGAACATGCGCCAAACATGCCACTTACTGAATTGCTGTCCCCCAACAAAAAAATGTATTCAAACACATTTAAGTACAGGAATTTTAGATGTTTACTAAGATCTTCCTGTTATCTATTGGAACCCAAAAGAATATTTGAGACCTTTAAGTTTAACAGGCGGATCTACTGCAGAGAGGGGATCTTGAGGATAGAATCTTTAATCATGTGTAAACTCAAAGCAAATCATTGAACTACAAGTAAAATACAAGTAACTTACAAGTGCGTCCCAGCTGGGTTTATCACTTTTTGTGTCCGCTGGAAACGCTTCCTTGGTCGTCTGTGCTACGTGCTGCGCGTTGGTCTGTTTGCTTGTGTTGTGATTACTTGTCGCACCATTATCTCTTTGTGTCATGCTCAGTGGCGGATTTAGATATGGGCGACATGTGCAGCCATGGGTGGAACGGGCGCTCGCCAAAAAATAAAATAAAGGAACATTTGCGCGATCGTTTGCTATCGCTAATTTGCACATCACTTCAATGACACCATGTCACCGTGTGCAGTTGATGCAGGTTTCTGCTTGCTGCGAAGGGCTGAGGTGTAAAAGTCAAACTAATCTCCTCTCTAACGATTTCTCCTTGACCTTAATGGAAAGCGTCATGAGGTCAAGGAAAGATGTGAAGGAGGATTGATGAGGACTTGCAGACATTGACATTTATGTATAGACTGTAGTATTTAGTTATGATGGTACTGTTAACTAGAAATGTGCTCTTTGCCCTGTTGGCCCACGGGGCGCTTTAGAGCCTGCTGGCCACGTCCAAGCCCACTCACTACAGAACTTTGCAATTTTCAACTGTCCTAAGCGCCTCAATAATGCGTTTTTCCAGCAGAACAGTAATAATACATATAGAAATATGAGGAGGGTCTTCGCACCCATCGGCAATCGGCGATGTTAATGATTTTCTGACCAAGTTCCAGGTGGATCTGGTCGGCCTGCTAGGAGTACATCAAAGTCTAACTGCTGTGTTTACTAATTTTGTACATGTAGGTGAAATGTAACGCTGCCGCTAAAAGATTTGCAGACTTGCAATAAAAAAAAGATAATGCGCTAGATTAACAAACAGTACTTGCAATAGAGTCCTGGCACCACCCAGTGCTTGGGCCCTACTAAAAATATTAATGATCTCTCCAAAAACAATAGGTCCCAGCACCTTCAGTGTTGGGCCATAATTAAATGTACTATAAAAACAATGAATGAAAAGAGCTCACATGCATTATTCATGTTAGTATAGGCTATACTGATGTACTGGTCACATAGATCACAGATGTTGTAGATATGTCTGAAACCAACCTGCTGAAGAACGCTCCGTGCTGTCCTCTCTGTCGTTCAGTCACAGCTCTGCTATTTCAAGTTTACTCAGGGGAAGGGTGTGTCCAAGCAAGGAAATGTGCAGCCTAGTTAAAGTGTGTATATATGTGTGTGTGTATGATCATGTGATTTCAGAGAAACTATGTCGATTTCCAACCAGTGGTCGAGCAAAGTGAAAGTGAAAGAACAGGAGGGTGCTTATATATAACTGGGTCAGTCAGGTCGTCCTGTTGGAGCGGGATTGTGTGTGTGTGTGTGTGTGTGTGTGTGTGTGTGTGTGTGTGTGTGTTATACTGTACATGAAATATGTAACTATAATATAACATAACTGGTGGTTATATACATGAAACTATAGCAGGGCAAATTAAATCTAATATTAAATCAAACCCTAGAGTTTTGGACTCAAAAATGCCGCCTGTCCTACTCTTCCCACCATCACACCATCAAAGTGATAGGACACAAAGGATCCTTCTCTCACAAACAGACAAACAACCTTTTTCATGGCCCATTTGCAACTCTCAAAAATGTTGGTGGTCAATATCCGATGCCATAACAATATGGAGGTCAAAAAATGCTTTCTCAGAGCACTTTTTACATTTAATAATGTTTTTAAATTTATTTCAATGATGACGATGGAATATTCAGGACTGAACTGAAAACAGGGGAAGCTCAGAGGAGAGATCACTTGTCAATTCACCATGTGTGTCTGACTCTTTCCTTTAATTCTTCCTGTTGCTAACCAGCTAACCAGAGCAACAAGTGGTCTGGCCATCAACATACACATTCCTATCATTGCTTATCACCTGATACCTAATGAAAAAGGGGAGTTTGAATTTTCAATGTTTTGAAAGATAATTTCATTTTAAAACAGTATTTATACTTCTATCTTATTTTTTTTTATAATTACATATTTTCACCAAAATTTCTTGGTTCTGAAAATCATGTGTGTGTGGTCATGTGATTTCAGAGAAACTGATTTCCAACCAGGGGTGGAGCAAAGTGAAAGAACAGATGGGTGCTGTATCTATATATAGACTGGGTCAGTCAGGTTGTCCTATAATTATATATTAGCTAACTATAATTACATTATTTATTTATATATAATTACATTATATATATATATATATATATATATATATATATATGAATGAATTAAAAGAGCTCACCCAACATACATTATTCATTTTAGTATAGGCTATACTGTCTTACTGGTGACATGAATCACAGCTGATCATAGATGACTTCAACTGAAGAAAACATGCAAATAAACAAAGTGAAGATTCAGAAAACATGTTGATCAGTTTGACAACACAAAGACTCACAACAACCATCTACCTTCTCTATTATTCTCTCATTCATCCACTTTAATTAGTCGATCCAGCAGCTAGTACAGAGGTCAAAGGTCAGTTTTGCTGCAGCAGCAGCAGCAGTAACAACCCAAAGACAAGACTCAAGATTCAAGTTTTTTTTATTTGAAAGTCTTCACCATGAAGCAAACAGCAATAAGAAACACAGTAACATTAGTATTAAAAACCAACCCATGTAAAAACAAATCACAGCCCAATATCACTGAAGAAGTGCTCTTCAGTGTTTACAACTAATTCTTGTCCATATGAATAATTAAAAGGAAAATACCTTGGTTTGCCTATCTCCCTGGACTTCAGTCTGTTTCTATGTATCTTACAGTCAGGTAAGTTTGAACATCAGAACCTGGATGTCTGCTGCAGCAGGCCACAGATCAGATTAACATGCAGCTGGAAAAAGACTCCCTGAGCAGATTAATAATCTGGAAAAGGACCCAGCATGTGGGTCAAGAAGCACAAGGATGAAAGAAAACATAACATGTTACAGTGCTGAACTAACAACAACCAGCTCAGACACACGCACAGCACCGTGAGGTGTCGCCTTGAGAAGATCAAGTAGCTGGTGCCTGGAACAGAGGCATTCTGGGTAACATGATGGGCTGTGCAGGGAAACAGCTGAACCAGTTGAGATGTGTGTGAATGAGTGCGTTGGGTTTTTTTTTTTGGGAGGATGAGCTACGCCGACTCAGGATCTTCTGTCTTCTGTAGTTTAACTGGAGTTCCCAAACAGTCCTCACCCTGAGCAAGAGACACACGTTCAGGAAAGAGCCTCATCCCTACTGCAGCTAGTGCATCACACCACGTTATACTTATAAACAAACATATGAATTTGAACTGTGTATTTGCCTTCAGGCAATTGTGACTTTTTGCATGTTCAGATGACCTGCAGTGCTCTGACAGAAAGACTAGCGGTTGTCATGGTGATTCATTTGAACTGAACACTGGACCAAACAGCTTCAACTCTGACTCTTCAAATAAAGAGGAACTACAGTTTTCCTTCAACACTCAGTTGATGAAAATGTGTAAATGTAGATTTGTAAGTTTTCAACAGATTCAGATTTCAGGACCTTGTGAGGCAGCAGAATGACTCCATCTTTCCAGACTCTAAGATATTGGACTGAGGCTGAATCAATCAGCATCTTCTGAGGGAGAAGCTACTGGCTGCTACAGGTGTGATGACAGCAAGAAGTGACTGTTCACATACTGACAGCTTGCCAATTACTTGATCAAGATGGTTATTTATTAAATTCAAAATACCACTAAAACCAAAGGAGCATGCCATTGTTTTCGATGATACAGAAGGTTTCCTGTTACTGTCAGGAAACTCTGGGGCTGCAATAATTTTGAAGTTTGGGTGGGAAATATTTATATAGGTGAAACTAATATCCTGAAAGAGAAGCGCTCTCAGAAAAATATGAGGAATACTCTCAGTTATGTTACTGTCCCATCATCTCAATGTGTTTGGTCTAACCTATTTAGTGATATACAGTGTGTAAAAGCACGGAGAATCTCTTATAAATACTGTATCAATAACAATTGTTAGGTGTCTTCAAGATATGACAGAATTTCTCCAGTTAAACATGTTAGAAAAATTCAAACTGAATATTGATTACAAGTGTGATTTCTGTGGTGGAGAAAAAGAAAGAATTTCCCATCCACTCCCACTGTACGTTTACAAGAATGTTCTGGAGGGATGTGGACAGTTTTCTAAAGAAAAAACTAAAAGTGAATATTGAAATAGTTGTTTGATGTCAAGGTAAGATTAAAGCAACATGTTGTATCTAATACAACTTTTTATTATTTTTGGAAAATTCCATATTCAGAAGAAAGCGAGGTCAAGAACCAAGCCGACTTTCCACTTGTGTGTGTGTATGTTTTTTTGAGCTTTAGATGAGTGTTCACAACTCCATTGAACTGAGGGGACTTCAGTAAACTCACCTCCAGTGAAAGGCTGTGTGCGGTGACAGAGGCTGGGGCATCCTGTGAGTCTGAGAGGGTTGGGAAGTCGAGCTCAATGTCCATTACATCATCGAGCCCCAGCTCCTCACTGGAGGAACAGAGGACAAGCAACACATGAACATGATCAATTGACTGACACTGTACACAGTGTGACCTTTATCATTATGGGCCCACATATTTTCCTTTCAGATGAAACAATTAATCATTTAGTTGGTCCACAGAAAAATTATCTCAAAACTATTCTGATAATCAATGATTTCATTTTTCAAGCAAAACTACAGAATAAAAATCATTCTCATGTTCCAGCTTTTCAAAGACAGGATTGGCTTCTTCTCTCTGTCATATACACTGAATATCTGAGGTCTGAGATAATGAGAATAATTATTAGCTCCAGCTCTAATTCTCCTACATGTTATCAAGGACTTTGTCTTGGCTGTCCTCTGTTGGGGGGTCCCAGGCGTGCAGTTTGACCTTCCACAGTTTGATCTGCTGATCCCACGAGCGACGGCTGTACTTCCTGAACTTATTGGGAGTCTTTGGGTGAACACCAGGCTGACGCATGTGTCTGGAGACAAGAAGGGAGAAAAACAAGGAAACAGAGGGGTTAGAGTTTTATTTGTGTATTGAACACAACATGTGAATGGAAATCTGTGGCAGACCTTCATTCTGTTCTACAGTTGCCCTTCTCTGCACAACAGTTACTTTCTCCTAGGGGTCGGTGATAGGATCATCTCGATCCGATATTGTTATCGGTATCGGTACCGATATAAAAGAAAAATCTAGATCGGGTATCGGTGACAATGGACCCGATAATAGGGGGCGATCTATTCATTTTAGCTCTGTGTTATACGCTGTGAGTGCGTCATACGCAAACAAGACAATACGGCCATATTGTTCAGGATGGAGCAAGCGAAAGGATCGGAAATTTGGCGGTTTTTCATGCTATCTCAGCCTGCAAGTCCANGAATCACCAAAGCGAGTTTATCCATGTGTAGAAACAGTGACTTAAGATGGAGGCAGACAAATTGGTTCTGGTTTTACTGATACCAATGCCATTATTGATTCTGCTTATTGATCCGATTCTTTATTGTTTCACTTATCGACTCCTGTGGACATCACTAATACATCCCTTCACTGTTCTGCTGAGACTGGGAAGCACTCGTTGACCGGCCGCAGAGTGTCAAACACATGACACTCCTGATATTTCCTGCCGTGCTGCATCGACAAATGTTTCAGCATGTTGCTGGTGTTTCCACCCTTGTTTGAAATCTTAGTGCCACAGACACTGCACATCGTGCACACGCAACTAAGTGGAAGGGGTCGATAAGGGAATCGTTAAGCATAAAGGCAAATTATGTCAATGGATCAGTTCTCAACTGGAACCGGTTCTCACACACACACACACACACACACACACACACACACACACACACACACACACACACACACACACACGGTAAACCTACTTTGGGACCTCCTTGATGTATCGGTCGTAGGCCAGTGTGTTCTTGCCGTAGTTGATCTGTTTCTGTCGCCGTAGCAGCACAGCCTCATCGGTCTCCATGTTGTCTCCCTCTCTGGAGTCACAGCTGCAGCAGACAGTGATATTCAGCATCATTCACACACATTTGGACTCAAACAGTAAAGTGTCCACAGGCTGCTATTCATTATTGGTCGAACCACAAAACAGCAGATTCAAGACCTCCAGCTGAAACCGAACAGAACAGAGTTTTGTGAACCGTTCCACACAAAGTGGAAAAACAACGCTCAGGAAATAACCTACTTTGTTGCAGCGCTATAGAAGCCATGGGAGAAAACAACTGTTCAATCGCAGTGTGTACATTTTGTGTTCAGCTAAACTCCTAAAATAAGAAAATCCTGGGTTTACAGTGAGAGTAAATGACTGTCGGCCTGTGCTCATAAATCAGTCCCTGCAGAAAGTCAGGATGTCACAATCACAATTATTAATGCAAATTCAACCAATCCCTGTGAAATCTGTGCGACCTTGCTTTTTTGTATAATTTTCCGCTGATTTGTTCAAAAATCATCATTCACTGTTAAAGACTGTATGTGTGTGTATATTTTTTTTTTCTTTAATGTCTTTAAGATCCAATCATCACTAAAGCATGTAAGTTATCAAATCATAAATTCATGAGGTGATTCTAAAGATCAGCTCTACCTGTGATTAAGAATCACTTGTTCTTTTTCCCTATTAGATATGTGAAGATTGGGTCACCACCTGCACTGGATTTATTCTCACTGGTACCACTGGTTGCCTTCGATTTTTAATGAATTATCCAAAAAAGATAGTGACAAATTTTTATTTTCTCACTGTTTGATTGCAAAAAAAAAAAAAATCTAAAAACATTGCAACTTTTAAGAAAAGCTGCCGCAACAATCCCAAGAAATGCCTGTAAAGTCCTAGAGGGACTGATGCATACAAGTGTAATGGTCAGACAGAGACGATGAGAGGAGCAGACGTACCTCCCAGAGGAGCCAGAGGAGGTCTTTCGCTCTCTCTGGGTGACCTCTGCACCCAGTATCCTCCTCCTGTAACTGAACAGAATGCACACAGTCAGTGAAGCCTGAGGGTTGAGTTTTAAATCAGTCAGAGAGAGAACCAGTCAACAGAAGCAGGTTGGTTACCGCTGCATGTCTCTGTGAACGTCCCTCCTCATCTCATCGTCCTCCACCTGGCTGCCCCAGTCCGCCTGCCGACCGCAGCGAGACACTGGGCCTGCGCTCTCTGGAGTGGTGAAACTGTGGCAGAAACAAAAGGATGCACACCCACATAAATACACTGAGGGGGATAGCAGTATCTGTTGCTACAGTAATAGCAGGTGTCAACTGTGGTCACTATTTTGTTGACCTAGTTACCCACGATGTATGAGGACAATTATTTTTCAATCTATAAATATACTTGTAAAGACCTTTAACTGCCACATATATAAATGTAGGCCTGCTTCTGTTGTGGGTGTATAATCTTACCTGGCATGTCTGTTGTCAGCGTGTCTGTAGCTGCCATTCTCCCTGTCATCACCCTCTGCCTCTCTGTTGGCCCGCAGGCTGCCATCCACCCCCCTCTTCCTGCAGTGGGACCACCGAGACGGGCCAGAGCTCCTACAGGGAAGACACAGGAGAGACTGGGATTCAAACACATGTTCAGATACAGTTTAATAGCTCTTCATTACAAACACATCAATAAACCAACTGCTTACCTGGAGCACAAGAGTAACATCTAGCTCTGAAATGTAAATTACAACCAGCTACAGCTACTAATGCTAGTGTTTCTACAACAAAGACGGTCGCCCTCTGGCTGCCTGACAGAAAACAGAGCTGCAACTTGTGAGAGAGGTTAAAAATCTTTCTCATCGTGGAGCTGACAGGATGATTTTTCAGCAAGATGGTTAGAAGAGAGTTTGAGGACTCAGTGTGGATGAAGTTTCCCTAAACTCTTATTTAACAAAAGGCAAAATGAGTAGGTTAACCACCATGCACTGGGGCCAAAGAATCCTTGACATAAGTCTCAATTTATACGTGTTCCCGTGTTGTTAGAGGTGTCATCTGTTCTACAATGAGCTCCAGTGTTTCCACCCTTTGAACACTGTTATATATCAGATATGACCTGTGAAAGTGGTCTGACTACTAGGAGTATCACACAGCTCGAGCTGTGTCAGTACTGAAGAATCCAGGATGCAGAGATAGTGCTTCTGGAAAACAGTGTTGTAGGGGAACTTGCTTTGGTGGAACATTTGCGTGCAGGGAGGCAAGAGCTGTCATTAAAACAGCAAAGATGTATGTCGACGGTGTTACTGCACAACCCATATTTTCATACAAACCTACCATTCTCAGTGTGTAGCAGCTCAGAAGGGAAGAAGACAGGAAGGCGCGTCGCCTGGAATAGACACCCAATGGCAGGTTTAGACCCACAGCCTATATCCAGTGACTCAGACTAGACGAAGGTGCATGACTGATGGAGTCTCCAATGGACATGTTGGAGACTTTTCAATGATAATAAAACCTAACTCCCATTTTAACATCACATTAAACACCTCATGTTCAGGCTCAATTTGAATCCTTTAGTTGAGTTTGTGTCTTTTTGTTCACAGTATCTGAAAACTACACTTGGATTGTTTCTTATTTAGTATACAAACGTTTTTATATTTAAAAAACAGGAAACAGGTCATTCGTTAGTATGCTGTTGTTCTCATCTAAAATCATTACGGCGTAATATTCTGTGTGTGTGTGTGTGTCCTGATCCGCTAACTGTCAGTGAGATGCACGGTTTTACTGGTTTGGGCCTGAGGACTTGCACCGTCACAATAGCAGTTATTGATTTTAAATCGCCTAAATATTGTTTATACAAAACAGAGGCACAGACTGGGTCTAGCTGCAGCCATATTCAAATCAGCTGTCTGTTGTTTAACAGAGCAGATGTTTTCATCCTGAGAGATTCTCCCGCCATCTACGACCTACTTCCGATTGTTCCTACCGGCTGTATCCCTCCATTATCCACCTGTTAAGTACTTGTCTGTATCTACTGGGGCCTGAGCTCGCTCGTACAGGTTCAGTTAGCAAATTCACTGTGCCGGGTACTCCTTTAAACAAGCGCCCCGCTTTCTTCACACGTGATGACAAAGCAAAACGCAACGAACTAACAATACCTGCCGGTGAGCTGCCGCCGACAGCCCAGGAACCAGAGTCCTGCTGGGCTACATAGGAAGCTAAGAGCACAGGCTAACGCAGCACAGATATAAACTAGCTTTACAAACAGCCTCTCATACACTACCAGCTAACACATTATGTAGCAACTCATGTACGAGAAACTATTTGGAAACAAGACTTTGAGCATGGCGAACGAAGCCTCCGGTCCGTCGGACAAAGGCAGAGCAGCAGCTCGTAGAGACGCTGTTAGCAGCGGGTCAAACTATGTCCAGACATACCTGTCGTCGTATTGGCCGCTGGGAGCGTCGCGTCGTCTGCTTCTGGTCCACTCAGACATTTTCTGGATTATACTGAATATGTGGGACAGTGAAGTGTCTCTGGGGTCAGCTGAGGGGCTCTTCTGCTACTCACAAACACCCGCCAACACTGAAAGACGCGCGGCTCCGAACAATCCAGCAGGTCATGTGACCGGAAGGGGCGGATACACATGCAAATCAAACAGGCCCCTTGGAGGCGGGCGGTGAGGATGGTTCAGGACGGATACTCCACATCACCCATAATAACACCAGAAACAGTAGAGAAATCTATAGAATACAATAGAATCACTGTATAGAGGATCTTTGGCAACACCACACATACAGCAGTGACTACGGTGTCCTGCATTGGACAATGCCTATGCTTTTATTTTCTCTGTAACTCTGTATTGACTACTGGAGCGTTGTTAACAGTATTTACACACAACTCTTTTCATTCCAGGAACATAGATACATTAAATAAAATAAAACCAAAAATAAAGTAAAATCAAAGTATAATTTGTCCACGGCAAATTTATCAAAGACACGGTTAGTTCTCATTGCCTTCTTATTCTTGATGCCTTTTAAAGTGGTGCCATATTGTTGCATTTCCTGCTGAAAGTGACCAAAGTTCAGTGTTGTGCCAGTTCACACTTAAAAAGAACTAGTTCAAAGTTCAGTTCATATAGATGAAAATGAACTAGAGAACACATTCATTGTTCATTTTTTATAATTTTGTTATTTTATTTATTTTTATTTTCTTTGAGTGTAAGATTTGAAGTGGGCTATCTGTACATTGTGCTTGTGTATGGTGGAGAATATAGAGGACTGTTTCAGACAACAGCGTGGTAGGGGGGATCAGATCAAGTTTATTAGCAGGAACCTAAAGGGGGCATTGTAAACCTGAGATAACCTTTCTTCAGGAAACACTGGCTATAAAGTGTTTCTTTCTAAAAGATTTACAGCCACTGATATCATTTCTGGCTCTTATTTGCCCAAACAAAAGGGCTTTTCTTTTCTCATATGCTCATCACTCAGAATCTTCTCCCCACAGTTAAAAATGTAGACTATCTGAATATTGAATTTGATCATGCTTCCTGTAACAAGGCTTTTTTAAAACTATCAGACTGAAGCTCTGAAAGCTGTTATTGGAGGGGAAGTAATTTTATATTTAGAAAGGATGAAGAAGTTAAAGAAACAAAAGTTGGAGCAGTAGATAAATACTATTGACCAAAGTGATCATCTGAAATATATAAATAAACATTTGTGTGCATTTATTCTCTCTTTATATAAATAATTGAGGTGTTAATATAACTTATTGTTATGATTTGGTTTTTTGTGTTGAATGCAGACAAACCCAAGTTAATGTTTTCTAAAGCAGGAAAAACACCTCCATACAATTGATATTATTACAACTCAGAAGAAGATGGATGTTGTTACTTGTTATAGTTCTCTTGGTGTAAAGTATTGATGTTGTTTCTTATATTTATTATTCTTACATTTGATGTCTCTTTAAATGAGATATCACGTATAAAATATGGAAAATTTTGTGATATTAAAACATCTATATTAATATCTATGCACTTTAATACCTAACTGACCACTTTTGTTTGGTTTCCTTTGTTCCATTATTCTTATTTTTATTTTATATTTTTTCTTGTGTATTATTTAAGTATATTATTTTCTTTAGTTTCTTATTTATTTATTTTTTCTTCAGACCTATAATGTTGTTTTTATTGCTGCTTGCCCAGTTTCTATTTTGATCTTCAATTATCTTGAATGTGACTTGTGTCTTTTTATATTATAAAGATTCAGAGTCACTGAATACTACTATAATAATAATAATGATAATAATAATAATAATAATAATAATAATAATAATAATAATAATAATAATAATAATAATAATAATAATAATAATAATAATAATAATAATAATAATAATAATAATAATAACTGTCCTGGTGTTTGGCCTGATGAACGTTTTTTTCTTGAACATGATGAAAACCTTGTGTATTGAAGAAGAAATGTCATCTGCTCCTGAGTGATCCTGCTGAGAACTGTTGTACGTAATATGTCATGGTAACGGATCTGGCGCCATTTCTCACATAAGACTCCGCCTCCTCCTCAGTAACAACCGGGGACGCTGTCCCCTGATTGGCTGAGCTACATCTTGTGTTTTCCGGTCTTGCTAGCAGAGATGCTATTTTAAACCCCACTTCCTCGGTGAACAGTGGATTAACACATCCGTCTTGGGAAATACCTAAGTCAATAATACGATTCTCTTTGATGGACATGAGCAGCTCTGTGGGACTGTACACACCGACACTGACCGGCTTCATTCAACACACACAGGTCGGGGTCTGAACAGGTCTGCCCCGGTCAGGGTCCGGACAGGTCTTTCAGGAGGCACCGGGGATGGACGACTGGACGACACTTGTGATTCTGAGTAAGAATAACGTGATGGTGAAAACTCGATCTCAGCTCAGCTCCTACATAGACTATATGAAAAGACTGCAGCAATGTAAAACTAACGCTAACTAACTAACTAACTAACTAACTAACTAACTAACTAACGCTTTAACACTATGCCATTCATTACTGAAACAGACACACTGTATACTCCTTCCAGCACAGAGATAGATGTCTGCTGTGAGTGTTTGTACATATACAACAACAACATGTGTTAACAATGCTTCATAATTTATAAGTTCATTATATTTTCAATATGAAGTCCGAGTTTGTAAAGTAAGAGATAAATGTAGTGAAGTCAAAAGGAAAGTGTCATGAAATATGAGGAAACAGAAATATAAACCTGAGCTCTGACACTGTCCATGCTCAATGTTCACAGCTTAGCTGCTTCCTCTGGGATGGATCAAAACAACCCAGAGACCCTGAAAGATCCTGGTGGAGAGCCTGGTCTGACAGCAGGTGATACATACATACATACACACACACACACACACACACACACACACACACACACACACACAGTATTTCATAGTTTCATCCAGCAGTATGTGTATCTGAGCTGAGGTGTTTACATGTGAAAACTTCAGAGAACATTTTATTGTGTATATGTGTGTGCATGCATTTATACTTGGGTTTATATGCATATGAATTAAGACGATGCAGGTATATATTAACCTGTACTTATGTTGCAAGCTAAGTTATCTATGCTTGTATATTATTTTCACTCGTAGTATTGTAGTTTATAATATAGATAGGTACAATATACCATGAATGAATTCTGTGTTTTATTATCTCAGAAGTATATATGTATATATGTATATGCACACTTTTTTATTTTTTTTCTGATGTTGTTCATTTGTCAACATAACTTAATTAAAAATTGTTAACAAAAAAAACATTTCACACAGTCTTTAAGGTCACTTTCTGCTTCCTGTTGTGCTGTGTAGCCTGTTAACAAGCTCCACACAGTGACTTTCAGATGTGACTGTGAAGTGGAGGTGAGTCAGTCAGAGAAGCCTGTTGGCTGTGATGTGGCTTTGGCTCATTAACTGGATTACTGAGATCACCATGGTGACAGGTGACTGTGTGTGTAGTGTTGTTTTCTTTGTGTTGACTGATGACTGTGGGTTTTCTCTGTGTCTCTCTTTCAGACTGGAACAACTCTGAGTCTGTCTGTCCAGAAAAGGAGCAGGTCAGTTGTTTAATTTGTCCAGAACTCAAAGTACAAATTTATTTTTTTAATCTTTATAACCTGAACCTCACATTTGGTTTCCATGTTTGTCTGATATTAATGATTATTTAAATAGTTTAAAGTTCCATCCATCCATCCATCCATTATCTATACCGCATATCCGTATAGGGTCACGGGGGTGCTGGAGCCAATCCCAGCTGACATTGGGTGAGGGGGATACACTCTGGACAGGACACCAGTCCATCACAGGGCTGACGTATAGAGACAAACAACCAGTCACACTCACATTCACACCTATGGGCGCTTTAGAGTCACCAATTAACCTAATGTGCACGTCTTTAGACTGTGGGAGGAAGCCATGAGGCAACAGTGCTAACCACTGCTCCGTCGTGCCGCCCATTAGTTTAAAGTTCCACTGGTCATTTTTTTAACATTAGGAATATGTGTAATATGAAAAGCGATGCTTGTATTGGGGAACCCAGAGAGAATCCTGACTCAATCTGCAGCTCTGCTCAGCTTTTTATCATCCTCTGTCTAACTCACAGATTTGGTTGCATGGTTGTACATATGACTGGTGTCCAGCAGCAAGCAGGTGGTGTCAGTAAAAACCTCTGATAAACCCAGTGAACACAGTTAGAGATGAGCTGGTATGAAGAATCAATCACTTCATTATCCACAGACCACAGATTTGGCTCAGTTAAGCACCGGACAGACAGCTGCTTTATTTCTCTGAATTTTATTATGTGCTCCCCTTGCAACACAGTACAACATGCTGAAGCTACCCACGTATTTCACATAGGAACCTTCAGCATGTGGTTCTGTGTTGCAAGGGGAGCACATGATAAAAGTCAGAGAACGCAGCTACCTGTTAGCCTCCAGATGTGTTTACAGTGTCCATATAGACAACAGAACACCTTCTCCATCTCTGGCAAACTGACTGGTTGATGGAAAACACATCATTGTTTTATGTAATTCCTCTCACTGCCAGAGGGGGGAGACAAATGTTCCACACTGCAGGTTTGTTCATAAACTCTCTGATCAGGCCCATGAGTTCAGTGTTGGTCTCTACAGCACTCTGCAGTGTGTCATATCTCCAGGCTGCTGTTACACACACACACACCCACACAAACACACACACACACGGTCCCACACTAACACACATGTGGCTTGAACATGACCTGTGGCCTGTACTACAAAGCAAGTTCAACATACCCTGGATAACTGGGTTAACTGAACCTAACATTGACCATCCTGATAACCTGTACTACGAAGCTGGTTATCACCTGGCTCAGTTAACTCTGAGTTCACCTGTCCAGGTACCTGGTTCATGTGGAAGAGGCAGAGTTGTTAATTATTAACATCATCCATCGTCCACCTTGAATGAAGTACTACCTGTAATTTTGTGTTATAGCAACGTCCAAAAGTGATGTTCAACAAGGTGGAATGTAAACATGATTGACTGGAATAAAAAAAATATTATTTCCATGTCTAAATATAATTTCTATTAAAGTCAGACTAAAGATATCTTGTAAATAAGAACATGAATTATCATTGCGTGTGAGTTTTTCCCTCTTTTGTCTGATGATGAACAAACTGTTATGAACATGTGAAGCAGATCAAACAGTTAAAGTTCATGTCAGACTGTTTCTGCTGCAGAGGGGAGAGAAAGAAAAGAGTCAGTCCGACTGAAATGTTCATTTATAACCATGGAAACAGTGAACAGTGTGTGGATCATTGTTGGTTTGGTTTTGATTTCTCCTCATGTTGTTCTGAGCTGCAGTGATGAAGAAGAGAGTAAAAGCTTCATCACTATATGTGGCCAAGCCCACGCTTTAGGCCACTGAGGTGCTCCACCACGGATTAGTTAATTGACGCACATTTTCACCTTCCGATTAAATGAAATATTGTCCATTCAGTACTTGCCGGTTGTAAATTGTCCATTTATTCCATGTAGTATTTCTTTTCCATTCAAGCATTAATAGTCCAACAACAGCTCACTAATTCACAACTCAACTGCAGCTCCTCTGCCTTGAGTTTCATGTCACCAGGTGAATACAGAGTAGGTTCGGTGAGTGTGTGTGTGTGTGAGTGCGGGTGTGGTCAAAAATCTGTTTCCCTTTCCGGGTGGCACCTGAACCTACACAGGTTAGTTCCTACTTATAGTAGATGTCTTAATTGGCTCCTACACACCGGCCCCTAATTGTAAGTGGTAGACAAACATTACAATTCAACACAATAATACAGGAGCCAAATGTGAAAATCTCAAATATGTACATGAGTATGCAAATAACATCATTCAATTTACCCCTCTTGTATTAAGCAAAGCTTAGTTACAGGTCTCTCAATAATGTTGCTTTTAGTCTGTAGCTTGACAGAACGCACTAGGCCCCTTTTATCAGGAAAAACCTCCAACACCTTTCCAAGAGGCCAAGAACCACGTGGAGCTGATGAATCCATGATGACTACTACATCACCAGGAACTAAACTCCTTTTCCTCTGGTTCCACTTCTGTCTCTCTTGCAGCAATGGCAGATATTCCCGGACCCAGCGCTTCCAGAACAGATTAGATATGTATTGAACTTGCTTCCATCTGCGTTTCACATACATATCAGATGGATCAAAAAGTCCAGGCGGCAAAGCTGGTTTTCCTTTCAGAAGCAGGAGATGATTTGGTGTGAGAGGCTCCAAGTCATTTGGATCGTCAGACAACTTGGTGATAGGACGATCATTAAGAATTGCTTCTACTTCACACATGACAGTGTGGAGTCCATCATCATCCAACATCTGCTGGTGCAAGACTGACTTGAGTACACGTCTTACTATGCGTATCATGCGCTCCCAAACGCCACCATGAAAAACTCACACGCAAATGATAATTCATGTTCTTATTTACAAGAATATCTTTAGTCTGACTTTAAATAAGAAATTTATATTTTAGACATGGAAATAATATTTTTTTTTATTCCAGTCAATCATGTTTACATTCCACTTGAATGAAGTAACTACTCTGCTATTTTGTGTTTATAGCAACGTCCAAAAGTGATGTTCAACAAGGTGGAATGTAAACATGATTGACTGGAATAAAAAAATATTATTTCCATGTCTAAATATAATTTCTATAAAGTCAGACTAAAGATATCTTTGTAAATAAGAACATGAATTATCATTGCGGTGTGAGTTTTTCCTCTTTTGTCTGATGATGAACAAACTGTTATGAACATGTGAAGCAGATCAAACAGTTAAAGTTCATGTCAGACTGTGTTTCTGCTGCAGAGAGGAGAGAAAGAAAAGAGTCAGTCCGACTGAAATGTTCATTTATAACCATGGAAACAGTGAACAGTGTGTGGATCCATTGTTGGTTTGGGTTTGATTTCTCCTCATGTTGTTCTGAGCTGCAGTGATGAAGAAGAGAGTAAAAGCTTCATCACTGTCGGATCCTGTCCATTACAGAGTATGTGTTCAGGTCAAATGAAGCTACAATAGTTATTATGTAGTTATTTAGGTGATAAACTCTCCTCTGTTTGTTAGAGCTCTGTTTTAAAACCAGAGTGACACATGGAAAGAACTCACACAGGCAACCACATCCATGATCTATACAAATTATGTTACTGATCTTATTACTGATCACTTTATTGTAAACTCTTTTGTCCCTGTCAGGATCCTGTAGGAATGATGAACTCAGTTTTTCCCAGTGAGTTGATTGGTCGATAGTCTGGCTGTTGACAGGTTTGATCTGATCCTCTGA